ATTTTTTGATTATTAAGCAAATCGTTGTAAAGAATTATTAATTTTGCTTCATTATTATCATCTTTTTCAGATTTATCTTCATCATCTTCAGGTTCGTCAGTTTCTTTAAAAATTGGTAAGGAGATTGATGAAGAGATTAGTGAAAAGGCTGATGAAGAAGTTGGCGAGAAGGTTGGTAAAGAGGTTGGTAAAGAGGTTTTAGTATCTACTAAAAACCAATTTTCTAATTTGGGTATATTAATGGCTACTTAGTAAATATACCATTTGGTCTATATTTATCATACCAGATTGATTTTTTAGTTTTTCTAGTTAAATATTGCCCTCATTTGCTTTTTTCCAAAATTCTTATCAAACTTCCATTTAAGATTTTAAGGAATATTAATAAGATGAGCTTTATATTCTTGTTGTTATTCTGTAAAACTTAATGGAACATCTTCACTGCTGTCATTATCCTAACATTCGTCAGAGGCAGTAGTGTTGAATTCAAAAAACTCTGTGTTTTTTTTGCTGCCAAAACAGCTATTATGCTTTCTTTTTTGAGTTTTAAAATGTGTTTTTTTTTAGAAATACAGCCCATTTTACATTTCAATAAAAAAAAGATTTTCTTACATTACAAAATTCAATATATAAAAAACCTTTTCATTAAAAATTCAATGAAAAAATTTTCTCACTAAAGAAATCACAATGTGAATATCATTTATATTGTATGACTTATTTTCATAATAAATCAATTTTATTGGTCGATTGCAATCACATGATAAAACTTTATTCCAAAATTTGCTATTTACATATATGTTCATATAAAAAATTTTCAACTTTAAATTATAATAACTTTTGAAATATTTATGTTAATAAAAAAGTAAACCAATAGAATGGTAGTTTAGATTCTTTTCTTTTATTCTATCAGATTATTTTTTTTATAACTATAATAATTTGAAAGTTATTGATTTTTAAAGATATACAATTTTTGTATCTACTTTAGATGATCTGCACTATAGTAGATTTTAAAGTAGAATCTCTTCATTCGACCAAAAATTATGTGGATGCCTTTAAACATATAATAAATGTTCATGAAGAAGTAAAAAATTACTTAGAAATGCAGATATTAATAGCACCTATGGACTATCCTAGGCAACTTCATGTATGGTATACTATCACTCATCAAATCAATATCAGCGATTCTTCTGAAATACTAGAACAAATATTGTATATTGTTTCAATAATTAAACCATTGCATATATCCTTAAACAGTCACGAAACTGTATTTCTTTTAAATTATTGAATCTTTGATATGCTCTTTCATGAAGTATTTGGATATCAAAAGGTATTGGCGAAAAAACCAAAACCTTACAAAATTAATTTGTTATTAGAATTAGCATCTCAAGGTTGATCTTAAGTGCATTCGATAATTTGCAGAAATTTGAACATTCTAAAGATCTAGAAGCCAGATATCTTATCAATTTATTGAACAATATCATCCCACTGGTATTAAATTTTTATCTTATCATATTTCGTAGTGAAGATTGGCTGGTATATAAAGAAGCCATATTTCGTATTTAGGCTATTTTTTCTTGAATGATTTTTTTATCATTCAAGTTGAACGATTCCTTATCGTTCAACTTGAACGATTTTTTTATTGTTCAAGTCGAACGATTTGGGTCATCGTTCTTCTTGAATGATTTTTTTTATCGTTCAAGTCGAATGATTCCTTATCGTTTTTCTTGAATGATTTTTTTATCATTCAAGTCGAACGATTCCTTATCGTTCTTCTTGAATGATTTTTTTATCGTTCAAGGTGAACGATTTCTTATTGTTCGACTTGAACAATTTTTTTATCGTTCAAGTCGAACGATTCCTTATCGTTCTTCTTGAATGATTTTTTTATCGTTCAAGTTGAACGATTCCTTATTGTTTGACTTGAACGATTTTTTTATCATTCAACTCGAGTCAATTTGAGTCAACTTGAATCAAGTCAAGTTTAAATCGAGTCGAGTTAAATATTTAACTTGACTCGAATTGGCTTGACTCGCAAATCATCGAGTCAAAAAAACACCAACTCGACTTGATTTGAACTCGACTCGGCTTATCTGACT